AGGGATTTGAGAACTGTTGAAGGGGAGGTCTGCTCAACAAATAGTCAAGCGTGCCAGAAACTAGGATTTCTTGAAGATGATCAACATTGGGATACAGCATTGTTAGAATCATCTACAATATCAATGTTCAGCTAAATGCGTCTTCTGATTGCAATCATATTAACACCCTTTTTTCCGTCGGATGCTAAAGCTTTGTGGGAAAAGACTATTTGAGTGAAGCTTATCTGCTACATTTTCATGGTGCTGCGAACAATCATCATTTACAGACGCCAGTTATTATTTACAACAAACCCCTGCAACTACTTGGACCAACTTCGTCACGAAGAGATGTCATAGACGTCGCAGATACTGATGTGGTAAGTGAGAACAATTACAATCGCGAAGAACTAAACCGATTCGTGGAATCAAATTAATCTCTACTAATAGAAGAGCAGAKAATTGTATACCAACGCATACTTGGTGCGTTGCATAAGAACAATGAGGGAGGCATATTTTCCTTGACGCACCAGGAGGAACAGGTAAAACTTTTCTCATGAATCTCATATCATCAGGTATCGCATCTACTCTTTTAGCTGGAGATAGAACTGCTGACTCAGCGCTCAAATTACCCCTGAATCTTTCAGCAACTGATGCCCCAATTTGCAGTATTTGGAAAAACTTTGGAGAAGTTACAGTTCTAAAAACGTGCAAAATCATTATTTGAGATGAATGCACTATGGCCCACAAAAAAACTAACGAAGCTTTAGACAGAAATCTGCATGGTCTGCGAGGACAGAACACGACGATGGGAGGAGCACTCTTGCTGCTCGCTGGCGATTTCCGTCAAATTCTCTCTGTATTTCCAAGAAGGACGGCAGCAGATGAGATTAATGCGTGCCCCAAGTGTTCATTTTTATGAAGATGTCAGAAATCAACACTATCAAAAAATATGCGTGGTCATTTGCAAGGCTTCTCGAGAATTTTCGCAACAGCTTCTTCGTATTGGAAAAGGAATATTTATGAATACGCCTGGAAATTACTCAGTAACATTTCCAGACAACTTCTGCAATTGACTGCGCCAATAGATGATGTAGTTAACAGCGTCTTCCATGACATAGAGGCAAATTTTACAAATCACGCATAATTCTGACAAAGAGCAATATTAGCACCAAAAAACTACTGGGTGACTAACCTCGACATTGAAATTCAGAACAAGTTACCAGGTACTGTGACAACGTACAAGTCCATTGACTGTGCAATGGAAATCATTTGATCGTCAAAAATGTATATCCTAACTTATTTGAAGCAACGATTTTGTCTGGCATATCGGCAGGTGATGATGTCTTCATAACCCGCGTACCTCTCATTCCTTCCGACATTCCTTTTGAATGCAAAAGACTGCAGTTTCCGATTCGCCTAGCTTTCGCATTGACAATCAAGAAGGCACGAGGGCAATCTCTGAACGACGCAGGAATTCATTTGGAACGTTTATGCTTTTCGAATGGTCAGTTATACGTCGCTTGCTCAAGGGTGAGCAACTCACAAAATCTATATATTTATATTATAAATAATGAAACAAATAACGTTATTTACGAAATTGCATTAAAATGATATAAAAGTTTTTTTTTTTCTAAAAACAGAAAATGTTGTGTTTGTGTCGCATAAAGACCATATAGCTATGGCAAACAGGGTGCAGGGTGGAGAACTTAAAAAGTGTTTTCGTATTTCTGATCAAAATTCAACATATTTTATTTACTATATATTTATAATGAATTTATTAAACCACAAATGTACTATTTTGTTCGACCAATTTTAGCCATTTTTCCGCTAGAGACATTATTCTATCAGTGCAAAACTTTGTATATTTCTCGGTAGTTTTCACAGCCTTCTCTTGAAGCCAACTTTACTCTATTAAGGGAGTTCTGCATTGACCGAAAGGTAATTCAATGGTGCAAGGTGGTGGCTATATGGTAGATGCGTCAAAACTTCCGAAGCAAGCTCTCCCAGTCATAAAAGATGTGTGCGGTCTAGCGTTGTCCTGATGGAAGACGAAACCCTTCATCAGTTTTTGACAGTAAAATGTAGAATCAATCGTTTGACCAGGCTGGAGCAGCTTATAGTAGATGATTTCTTTCCAATCCCACCAAATACTCAGCATGACCTTTAGAGCCGTTCGCGACAATTTGTTTAGCTTCACCACGCTTCAACCATAATTTTTTTTCGCACATTATTGTCGTATTTGATCCACTCTTCGTCTCCTGTTATCATTCGCTTCAGAAATGGTTCGCTTTTATTTCGTTTCAGCAAGGAATCGTAGATGTTAATTCGGGTTTTCAGAGACAATTCACGTGGCACCTAAATATCGAGCTTCTTTTTGTAATAATAATAGTAAGTTCCCTAGCAATGTCATGACTGATGTGATGGTTTTGTTCAATCTTTTCTATATTTCCGTTGACTTTTTTAACGATAGTTCGACCAGAGTGAGGTGCATCTTTCACATCTAAAATTCCAGRACGAAAGCGAGTTGTGATAATAAAGAGTGTAATGAATGAGCCTTTACTCCTTGCATCCTCCTATATGTCATACGAGGCTGGCGGCTAAATCCTGCAGAAGGAAATAGGCGTAGGTGGTGGACACCGATATACGATTTTGGCAGTGGACGGACAACTTTGAGAACTTATTTGGAAACCTAGTCAATGTGCACTTCTTCGGCTATAGGCACGCGGTGAGCACTAGTTACCCCCCGAGTAAAGGGTTCAGATTGACCGCAGTAGAATTTATATACAAATGGAACCTTCGGCCATAGCTCGAATATGGAACCAACATTGGTAAACCCATGCATTGTCTTTACAACAATATAGACAAGAGCATTTCAGAGAAGAATAAAGTTCTATTAGGATGCGAAACTGCAAAGGTCATGTGSAAAGCAGTAAATCAAAAATGCACAAAGTTSCTGCTCACTCTTGTCAGAAGACAGCAAGGTATCAGGAAAACAGTGTCTCGTTTCTTGCGCAGTTCTCCAGCACTTGCAAGGCAACTAGTGCCCGCTAAATAGGATATTTAATGTTAAAATAAGAAATTTCATATCAAATGAATGACTGATAAGAGCTGGTGTACCTCGATGGAGTGTATATATCTTATATACAGGTAATATATACTGGTAGTAACGAATTTATATCGACCTTTCCGGAAGACACAGCCAATGTAGGCGACAATAAATGCCCCATCAGGACGACGCTTTGGTCGACGAATAGCTAGCCTACTGTAGAGTAAATGTAATTGAACAAAAGTGTAAGCATGTTACACTTTTACTAAGAACAAAAATGTGCAACTTTTCTAATAAAAATATTTATAAAGATCTTAGTATTTGTATGGTAAAGAAATACCAAACTATCCAGCTTTTCTACTAAAAAGGTTTTATTACCTATTGTTCGGATTCAAATAAGCATATTCAATAAATAAAGATATTTTAACAAAACAAGAAACAAAAATGAATATGTGGTATCTAAAGACAAAAATTCGCATTTTAAGAATATTGACGTGGGTGACGATATGGAATCACATTGATATTATACTGAACAAGCTGATCCGGCATATTTCGTACTGCCTCAATCGATAGATGAAAGAGCTAAGCTTTTCTATAAAGCAATTTTAAAACAAAYATAACGAATCCGTATTTAGTAAAAAAAAAAACATTTTTTGAATGAAGCAYGAAGTTTTATTATTATTTTCGACACATCATGTTTTTTACTTACAAAACGGAGTTTTCCTGAAATACTGGCTATTTATCACACTATTGTGATACACTCTGTTAATCAATTTAAAACTTTTTCGTAAACTATATTTTTTGATTTGTTATGTGGTACGGAAATAAACAAAGAAGACGGTTTACCGACGCGCGAACACGCGACGTATAGTTGTCCGTGCGCAAAACAGGGACGTTGATTCCGCAGCAAGTCCAGTGCATTTAAAAACTCCATGGGATAGTTGAGTACCTCATTCTGGTTCATAACGGTGTCGACTGAAGAAAAGAAACTGGTCTGGAAGAATATTCTGAATGCCCCCATTGAGATCCTTAACATCGTTATTTTTCGCCGCCAATATTGCTCGTTCCAATTATGATTATTGAATACTACGCAATATCTCGGGAGCATGAAGGAAATAAATTCCACCAGATACACTCTTCACAGCTTCTATCAAAGTGTCGAATGAAATCTTTATTGTTGATTTAATTGTCGATTATACGAACTGTTTTTGCCAATGCATATTGTTTTTCTTTTTGCAACTTGTGTTTTAATGCATCGTGCATATGACAATTGGATGTTGTCATTCCCAAACATAACAATACTTTATTTGCCATTACCAAACACATATCTTCTATCATGATAAATGTCTCATTGTAAATTTCAGCAGTAATTTTTAGTGTCGGATTCAAAGTTTGACGGCGAACAAGATGCAAAACATCCTCAGACATGTCACCTCTGTACTTAACTCAAAAATCTTTTGAATTCGAGGGGAATATGTCGATATGATAATCGCAAACAATGTACGAATATGATGCGGCGATGAAGATATTACAGAATTCAGTGGGAATGTTTCAAGTAAGTGTAATAGTTGACATGCTTCACGGTAAGTCTCATATTTGTCCAATAACTGTTCTCAGTTGTTAAAACGATGTCGGACCGCGAACATCACCAACAACAACCGCAAATAATAACATTCATCGTATTTTGAACGCAAATCGCCACATCTAATTCGTATTTCCGGTCCAAGTGTTCCACGTAGTATTGTACATTTTGCAAGTTCGAACATTTCAGAATTTACTCGCCCTTATCAGTGTGATGTAGCTTAGCTAAATGTTCTATAACATTCTTTGTTATAAGTAAGCAATGATTTTTTGTTTAGAATTTACGCTTGTAAGTTGGTTAAAAATTAACATTTTCTGTTTTTTTTACAAACCATACTCATTGGATTCCCTTCAAAGAAGTTCAGGCCATTTTTAATTTCATGCAACGATTTAATCAGCCGATTTAAACAGACAAAATCCCAACTAATTTTTATATATAAGGTATTGTTTTTTTATAACATTCTACTGCGAATGTTTCGAAATAGTCTGCATACAATTTAATATCGAAAAAAATTAATGGAACATGAGTACATATAATAGTATAATGGTTTACTTTAATAAGCTGCTTACAGCTTCAAATTCTTTTTCATTACTGATTTTAATTACTTTTTCTTCTCTCGATGTAGGCGATTCCCCTAAACAACATCTTTTAAATTTTGCAAGGTATCCGCTTTCTGGATCACTTTGATGCAGTTCACTCGTAACATTTCCTTGATTAAATTCAGGCATTACATCGTCCAGTATTTTTAACTCTCTTTTCGTAAASAGTAAATCCAAAGCTTTTCGTATACCAATCATAACAACCAACATTAGTGGAAACAAAATAGATGTTTCAGAAAATGATTTGATTAGCCATAACATTATAAGACAAGCCAGTTGTATGCCTGTAAAAAGGTGAACCCTATTAATTGGAACCTGTAATGTAAAAAATATACATCTTAGTATAAATTTGCTTTTTGCTTTAATTAAAATACAAAAGAATAAATAATGAAATGTAATAAAGTTGGGGAAGATTCCGTTTAAAAGGCATTTGCTTTCCATTAGTATTCCAATGAGTTCCATTGTATGGAAGTACGAAAATCATTTCATCATATACTACATCTATATGGTGATTGGAGGACAGTCTTGGGCCGGACCGTCCATATAAACAATTTGGGCAATTGCCTAGAGTTCAAGAATTGTAGGACGACATTTTGGTTAATTACCAAATACAAAAATTAGTACATTTATTCCCTTTAAAGCGATCACAGAGAAGAGAAGCAGCTGCGGAATAAAAATTATGCACAATTTGATATGGCTTCACCGCCTAATAGGTTAAATATAGATATCTCACAAACAACTAGAGCTATTTACATCACTCAAATTTAATGAAGACGAAACTTACCAGCAAGGGCTCTGATATTGTGCAAATCGGATGACAACTAGGCCCACTCCGCTTGTAAGTGTTATGTTGAAAAATACTAAAAATGCATACTAAATAAAACGGTTCGCATTATCTTTTGCAGACAGAATGGTACTTAGTGGTCAGTATGGAATATTTTTTCAAATKTTTTTTCTGCATTTTCAGCTCCCTTATACCCTTAGAATTAATGAGGAAACCCACTTTTCCATTGGAAAGTTTCGAAAAAAGCATTCATAGCCGATTAGGGATATGTCCATTTTTCAACGGTTATGTTCATCTTTATACTTTTTTTCACCTTTGCTTGCTTTTTCAGCACCTCAAACTTTAAACGTGTTTTTCTCAAGACACACTTTTTTAAACTGGCGGACATTATTCCGGTCGAACTACTCAACGAATTTCGCTAATTTTTTTAATGCTCACAAAACTATCGTCCCTTCTAGATTCATAATTGTTTATAATTTATTGACAACATTAAGACAAAATTTGTGTAAACAAACACGGGGAAAAATTAAAAAAAAAAACTCTTTTATGTATGAACATTTTTTCATGTGTCTGATAACCATTCACGTACTTTTGAAGAAGAAATTGGGTTTTTGTGTTTTAGATGATCCAAACATTAACAATCGTGTCCGCAGTAAAAAAACGCATATTCACCCAGCCATTTCTAACACAGATGTCATCAAAAAATTCCGAAAAAAATATGTTTATACACTCCACGATAGGCCTCATGATATGTGAGGCTATTGTAGAATAAAAATTTAAAAAAAAAAACAAGTAAGGAAGGGCTAAGTTCGGGTGTCACCGAACATTTTATACTCTCGCATGATAAAGTGATAATCGRGATTTCAGGCGTGGGTGTGAACCGATTTCACCCATATTTGCTACATGTCATCAGGGTGTTAAGAAAATATTATGTACCGAATTTCATTGAAATCGGTTGAGTACTTCCTGAGATATGATTTTTGGTCCATAAGTGGGCGACGCCACGCCCATTTTCAATTTAAAAAAAACCTGGATGCAGCTTCCTTCTGACATTTCTTCCTTAAAATTTAGTGTTTCTGACGTTTTATGTTAGTCGGTTAACGCACTTTTAGTGATTTTCAACATAACCTTTGTATGGGAGGTGGGCGTGGTTATTATCCGATTTCTTCCATTTTTGAACTGTATATAGAAATGCCTAAAAGAAAGGACTCTATACAGTTTGGTTGATATAGCTATAGTAGTTTTCGAGATATGTACAAAAAAGTTAGTAGGAGCCGGGGCCACACCCACTTTTCCAAAAAAATTACGTCCAAATATGCCCCTCCCTAGTGCGATCCTTTGTGCCAAATTTCATTTTAATATCTTTATTTACGGCTTAGTTATGACATTTTATAKGTTTTCGGTTTCCGCCATTTTGTGGGCGTGGCAGTGGGCCGATTTTGCCCATCTTCGAACTTARCCTTCTTATGGAGCCAAGAAATACGTGTACCAAGTTTCMTCATGATATCTCAATTTTTACTCAAGTTACAGCTTGCACGGACGGACGGACGGACGGACAGACAGRCATCCGGATTTCAACTCTACTCGTCACCCTGATCACTTTGGTATATATAACCCTATATGTGACTCTTTTAGTTTTAGGACTTACAAACCACCGTTATGTGAACAAAACTATAATACTCTCTTTAGCAACTTTGTTGCGAGAGTATAAAAACAGGCCAGATTACTCTACTGACCCCTTTAAGACTTTTGTAAAATTGTTTTTTACCCCTATGTTACATTACGAAAATGAAATCGAACGAAACGAAAAACGAAAAACCTCGGCTACTTCCTATATACATATATTTTCACCCTCTCAGATACTGAAAATGTGGTACACACCCCTAGCTTTGGCTGATATTCTTCAGAAGTTATTGGTCAGTCTGTGATATATAATATTGTCTTTTTTAGAGTAATATTCATAAGTTAATTAACCCTTCGTTGCACAGCATTGGATATATGCAATGTTAGCCTCTCGTTGATATGACAGATTCATCGTTTCTTAACTTGCAGTTATTTTTTCGCCAAATGAAAATTATACGTTATTACTATTCTCCTCTGGTAGAGGTTTGTAAATATTGTTGAGTTTTTGTGAATATACTTACATACTACGTAGTAAAGAGTAAATTTCTTTCTGATATATTGAAAATGCAGAATGCAAATGATAATTTRTTTTCATTATTTTTGTGAATTATTTAGGATGTATGTATAATAAAATGTAAGTATTTTCAATTAACTTGGAGAGTTTCCTGCCCAAATAAAAGAATCRGTCTTCACACGAATTATTTTTGTAAGAGTTATTATGTATCATTCCACATCTGCAATACCATGCATTTAAGCCTAAATTTTTACTTGTAGGGCGGTTATGATAGCGGACGAATAATAGAAAACTGCAATGAAAGCAAAGATGAGCATTTAAATGATGGTGATGAAGCAAATTTTGAATTAGATATACTTCAATACGAATATAACCAGGAAGAAGCAATCCTATCAATACATAATTTTAAAGAAGTTAATGTTATAATAGACGCAGGATGATCAGATGATCTCATGCAAATTTATGCACTTGTCAAAAAGAGCCAAAATTAATGATATAAACAAACAAGATTTGTAAAAGTACGGATATTGTTCAAATCCCTGATATTCGAAGATATTGGACGAGAACAGTAGGCATAAAATGAATACAGGAATACTATGTCAGTAAAGAAATTCGAAAAAAATAAAAGTTGTATGTTTTAGCTGGTAAATCTGTATAAAATTACAACTTCGAAATATATAGTGGCCAAGAAAACAACAGAATCAACAAACTTCCTGAGGAAATTGATTTGGGATCAAGTCCCAACATACATAGTTATACGATTACTAATTGATATTCCCCCATAAAAGAACTAAAAAGTTTTTTTTTTATAATTACTACACTTCTTTTGCCACCTATGTAAACGTGGAATTTACTTACTGGGAACAGTTTGTCGGATCCGAATTCTCAATTTAAAGCTTCTAGGCGAGAAATTACGACGAAGAAAGCACACGAAAAATCGCTTGAATATCCAAACGTGGATAACTTTCATATATCTGTAGTTTCCTGAAGAGATAATACAATTGTTACTTTTAATTTCAAGCTACTGAGGCAAAACTAGAAGTTTAACGGTTTGATGCGGAATTTGGCCGGAAAATAAGTGTCGCTTGCCAAACGTTCTATCAAAGTATAACAAAGGCATTAAGCGTGTTGATTTGAAAGATTCCTTTATAGGCCGATACAAAATCAAAATACGCTCTCAGTATTCTTATTTGCGACATATAAGTATAATCCTTATACTTTATTTCTATAGGAATCACCAGGGAAGTGGTCCCRTCACTGAAAATGAAGTACAATTGAGCCGAATAGATCACTGGCCAACATGGGTGGACACTCGAGTCACTTGCAAATTACCAAGTTGTGACGGATATATGTACATATGTTAGGTGCAAAAACGTGAAATTAATTTATGTTTCAGCAGATCAAAAAATTGTTTAAAAAAATTGTTTAAAAAAATTTCATATAGAATAATCTGAAATTTATTGTCAAAGTAATGAATTTTCTTCTGTCCACTTTTATTCAACGAAATAAAGAGCATATCCGTACAGTAACCTCGTTGTAAATTTGTTAGATTTGCTGCATGTTACGTAACTCTGTTACTAGAAACACGGCAATTATAAAATTTAAAATTTGTCATCTTAAAATAGCCCACATTAAAAATATGTTATGATTCAAAAAAGTTTTTATTCTCACGGAAATTAAATCTYGCAACGAAGGGTTAAGTAAATCAGACCTTCTTTAATGTTAAAGTTAAAGTTTATGCACGATCGATTAAAATTAATGATATTCTAATGAAACTTCTCCAGTTAAGTTTTCTTGAAAATAATAGTAAGGGTAGTGCTTGATATGAATGAAAATGGTTTGGTTAATCTTTTGGTTTGGATAATACTCGACCACGTCCAGAACGCAGTGAAAAATTATAGCAGCCTTGGTTGAGTGTGTACATAAAGACCATGGAGAGTCGATTCGGCACCGGTCGCAGCTACTCGGACTATTCTATGGAATCACTGGCGTACTTTGCGTCAAGATGTTAAACTAAATGCGTACAAAATACAGCTTGTGCAAGAACTGAAGCCACTCCTTCCCAAGCGACATCGCTTCCCTCTATGGGCTCTTGAAAATTCCTAAGTCTAAGTTTCTGTGCTTTTTCTTAAAAAAAAGTAGGGAACTTCCAAATGAATCACACTTAATATAAAGTGGTGTGTCCGCACAAATAAATTGGGAAATTTAATCATTAAACATTTTTAATTTGCGGTGGACAGGAAATTTAAATAAGAGTAATGGTTATTCCTTATGCCGAATATTTTTCGCCATGTGATTTTAAAAAGTGAACTGCATTTTCCTTTTTATATTTATATATGTATTATAGATCACGTGCCGATGGCTGTAAGCAAGAATTGAATAGCTGATCGCAAA